GGCATATGAAGTACTTAACAAATATCATTGTTTTTGTTTTTTTTTTTAAGATTTTATTTGACAGAGAGATACAGCGAGAGAGGGAACACAAGCTGTGGGAGTGGGAGAGGGAGAAGCAGGCTCCCCGCTGATCAGGGAGCCCGATGCGGGGTTCAATCACAGGACCCTGGTATCATGACCTGAGCCAAAGGCGGATGCTTAACCGACTGAGCCACCCAGGTTCCCCACAAAAATCATTGTTGAATAAATAAATTGAATAAATAAATGAGTGAACTCAGGCTCCATGATGGTCAAGTTTTGTTGGGCCAAGGGAGAGTAGAAGACAAAGACATATTAATTGGAAACCTAAGTACAGGGAACATGGAACAAGTTTATATATGAAGATAACGGGTGATACAGCACCATTCAAGCAGTTTTGAAGTATCGCTTCAAAGGTTTGGGGAGAAAAGCATTTGGGAAATACACACAAGGTTGGGTAGTGATATCATTGTTGTCTTATTAAGCTCAGGTTTCTTTTTTTAAGATTTATTTATTTATTTGAGAGAGAGTGAGCAGATGGAGAGGCAGAGAGAGAGAAAAGCAGACTCCCTGCTGAGTGGGGAGCCCAACATGGGGCTCCATCCCAGGACCCTGAGATCATGACCTGAACCAAAACCAAGAGTCAGACACTTAACCAGGTGAGCCACTCAGGCATCCCTAAGCTCAGGTTTTCACAGTTTTTGAAAGATGCAAAATAGAGATTGAGATAACTCACACAGGCATTGACTGTCCTAAGACTCTCCTTCAGATATTATCAACCCTCCATCTTATCCTTTGTTCTTATTTCTTGAGAATGGAATGGAAAAGGGGGCGGGGGGTTACCCATAATTAAAGAATCCTTTAACAACTTTCTTCAATGGAAAATAAACTATTTTTTCCCCTAGTGGAATATCCAGAGTGAAGAGGGATCTTAGGAACCCAGATGATGAATTCTCTTATGTCTCAACCTAAATAGTATTAATAGAGATTCTAGAAACTTTCTGTTTAGACAATTATTTTTTCTGAAAATTTAATTGATAGAGAATTATGGGCCCCTTTTCAGGAAAGTTTTCTAATTTTTTGTTCTTATACTGCAAATTAGCCTAGTAGTGAGGCTTAGATCAAAGCAAGAGGTACTATACGTCACAGGCTTTTATTTTGAAATTAAATTTTTTTTGAATGGAGAATTTTAGTCATGAGGAAATATTCTGTTTTTCACCTCTAACACTTGTTCTTTTGGTTAAATGGAAGTAAAGGGGGCTCTACCTGGGACTGCTAAGACCTTAACATCCAAAGAATAGAGGAAAAATAAGATAAATACACCACTATTTGGGCCTTATTCCCTGGATTATTCATACTCCTGGTCCTCCATCCCCAGGTACAGTGACTGCCTGTTCCCTCACACCATCAAATTTAATTAACAAAAAAATAAAGAGAAATAGTAAAATAGAAGTATTTCAGCACGTGGGTGGCACGGTTGGTTGAGCATCTGACCCTTGGTTTCAGCTCAGGTGGTGATCTCAGGGTTATGGGATAGAGCCCTGCACTGGGCTCCACATGCTCAGCATGGAGTCTGCTGGAGATTCTCTCTCCCTCTCCCAATGCCCCCACCCCCTGCTCCTACCTCCTGCTCTCTCTCTCTCTAAAATAAGTAAGTCTAAAAAAAAGAACAGAAAAAGTGGAGTTCAGTAAAGCCTTGAGTGGAGGTCAAGTAATTCAGAGAAAAAGCCATCAGTAGAAGTCCATGAGACTCACAAGTTCTCTCTTCCCACTATTCCTTGGTGCTCACTGAATAAACATTCATGCTCTTTGTCTCTGCTTAAACATTTCCTCTGTTCATCTGCTTTCTAAATTAATGTATAACTACTATATGTATGCATTCATTTAAAATCATTGAATACACCTGAGTTACCAACATAGCCATGAATCACTATCCTTTCTATTCAGTAGCTAGTCCAATATGCTAGTCCAATAGCGACCCACACTTGAGACCACTTTGCCCCTCATCCTCTAGCTCTACTCAACATCTCTTCCCTTCCGTCCATCACCTTTTCCTCTACTCAGGAGAATACAGCTCCTGTCATCACTAATTTCTCTGTGTTTTATAAAAACCTTACCTTCTCTTTTGATTTCTCATTCACTTATAGTCAAATTTGCTTCCCTTTAGAGCTGTTACTCAAAGTAAACACGATTTTCAAAAGTATGTTATTGAATTGGTTTAATGTTTTGGAATCATATAGTACCGTTTTCTACTATTTTTCACTTCAAAGCTCTATTTCTACAAATCATATGATTTGACTATGATTTTGTGGATTTCAAAAATTGACTCTGAACATCTAACATCATTTATAGCATTGTTTTTATGTGAAAGTGATGTTAGAGTCCTGAATATTTAATTTACAAATTAAGGTTTTGAAGCACAGTCCCACTGAAGCTAGTGCCTGCTTAAATTGCAAATGTGATCTTTAAAACTACCTGAAAACCAAGAATATTTTTATTTATAAAAGGATTCTTATGGATTTGGAAAACAAATTATTCCAATAATTTTGGGACATGTTTATAAAATAAGTTCACCTAAAGATTTGTTTTAGATCCTTGTCTCAGTGGATTCTACCATGTAGGAAGGCAGAATTAATTTTATTGTTCAAACATTATCTGTAGTTTTCCTATTGGATCTAATGTTGCTTTCTGCTCTCATCCCATGCGAGTTCTGTCTTTTCATGGCTCAGAAGACAATTCTTTGTCCCTAATTCCCGCTTACGTGTATGCTTACTTCTGAAGTAGGCATATTAAGTTGGCAAACAAGGTATAATTTGTTTGCACTAAAAATAAAAGGATGAGAAAATCCTCTTACTAAAATTAGACAACATAGAAATGCTCTCCTATGAATAAATGGGGAACCCTTAACACAAAAGATTTTACTTATTTGCACCAGTAAATTATCTTTTGAAAGTTCAACACCCATGGGACTTGTCTCAATGGAAACCATAACAAAAGTACATGTTGAAATTCCTAACCAAGTGGTGCTTATTAGACATACCTAATGTTGAAAGAATAACTTGGTATTTAGAAAGCCTTGTAAGACTAAAGATTCAAATGAGAAAATAATAATTGTATAAATTATGGATTTAATACCTTTTGCCATTGTACAGATCATTTATTATTTAGCAACTTTGGGAAGCTTTTAAATTAATAGATCTTCTTATCCTTGCCATCCTTAATATTGAATTTTTAATTTCAATATATTTAAGGCTCATATTAAAGGGGAAATAAACAGTTTAAAATCCCTTGTACAGTCTCAGTAAATATAAATATGTAGGGAAAAATCAAAATCAAAATTTAATTTCAATATTTTCATTTTTGATATCAATTCTATGTCTGTAGTTTTATCATGCTCTCTTTTCAGCTGTTTCCTTGCTCTCAAATTGTAGAGTAGTGGTTCTTAACCTTTGGAGTTCATTGGAGTCATCTGATATACATATTTAAAATGTTGGTTCTAGAGCCTGATCCCAAAGATTTTAATTTAAGTAAGTCTGGCATGAAACCCAGAAATAAATGTTTCTGTAGGTTGGCTTCAGGCTATATTTTCAGGTGTTTCTCAAAATATTTGCAGAATAGAAGACAAAATTGTTTATAGATGGCATTAAAGAAAATAAAATAGAAATATTTTAAGAATTCTATGGTGAGAACCATACTGCCACAGCATCAGCACATGTCCTTCATTATAAAGTTACTGAAATAACATGATACATTAGCACTGTGACAATTAATTCCTAGGAAACTAAAGTACTTTTGATTCTGGATATTTATGCATTTTCAGAACCACTTTAATAGTTCATGTAAAGAAATTATGAGAATTAGTAAAGAAGCATGTTTCAACAATAAAACTATGATCCTGCCTTGAAGTACCATACTGCATGAGAGAGAGGAGAAACTTGTGGTATTGAAACAGTTCATTCTGAAAAGGGGAAGGACTTGTGATATTAAATAAATCTGTCCAATAGGCTTGTGTTATAAGTCATTGCATTTATAAGAGTTGGTTTACTTCTATGTAATTTTAGTATTGGTAACTTACTGTGACCAACTTCCTCAGGAAAAATGAGTAAAGATGCAAATAGTGCAATAAAGTCCTGAAGACACAGTCTTATACTCTAACATCCTTTCTCTTGTACACGATGAGAATAATGTGAAAGCAATTCTTTAGGAATCCAAAACTTCAGTAACACGGGACTCCAAGAATGCCTAGTATGATAATTTAATCACTCCAATTTACTTCATAGAATTGTGTTTATACCTATGAAAGTGTGTGAGAAATGACTTAGACCAAAGAAACAATTTGATTGGTTAATGAAGAGTCTAAGAATGATAATTGAATTTGATGGAATTCATTAGTTAAGACATTCAAGCCTATACTTTACAACCCCAATTACGTCCTCTAACATATGTAATAGTCACAGTGTGATATATGTACTTCATTGCTGAATAAAGCACAGGCGGAAGAGGAAGACATAGTATGGCACAAAGAAACATCAGCCTGGGACAAATCTTGCATCCACTCAGCCCCTTACCCAATCCTCTTGCTTAAATATCATCTGTACAGCAGGGCACAAAACCACAGAGGCAGATGCCATGGCATATTCTTTTAGAATGCAGGGCTGCTCAAGATCATCTACAGATAATGAACCATGACAACTTCAGATTTGATTAAGTAAAAAATGAAAGTTAGAGAAAGCACAAATGTTATATAAGTGGCCAGTGCCCCACCAAGTAAACTAGCACTTCAAGGGCACTAATACTAATTTCAAAAGATGCAAGAAATACTATTTCCTTTGATATCATAAAACACTTTTTAAGGTAAGAGATACAGTCCTTCAGTCTTCTACACAAATGCTTCCCCACCTCCCACCCCACCACATATCATGCGATAGGTATGGGGATAGAGGGATGCATCAACTATCAAAGTTTCTGTTTTTTCCATATACCTGAATTAGGCAGTTGTAACGCAATTTCGAGGACCGAAGCAACAGGCAAATGAACAGTCTTCCAATCTCAATCCGGGCGTTTGTCCCTCAAGCTCTTGCTGGTTCTCGTTTTACTGTTTTCCCTTGAGAGAGAAAATAATAGAAATCATCCATGAAAATGCTGGCCTGCCACTCTGCACTTGCCTTCACTACTGATTGGGTATACAGACTTCTGCTTATGTAGCTCATTCATTATTCACACTGTGCTCTAGCTTCCTCGATTCCTGGTTATGCTAGGTGCTCCAGGCTAAGAAGCAATAAGTATGAATCATGCTGACCTAAAGATAAATCTAGAAGAATAAATGTTTCAAGAGAGCTAGTTTTTTTGCATTTCTTTTGACATTCTGTTCAGTGGCATTGGTCTATTGAGGAGAAATAGCTCGTGCTGCCACCGAGGAGCCCAGCGGAATTACCAACCACAGGGAATTATCTCTGAGCAATTCACACTTTGTTTTGCTAACAAGACTCCTTGTTAGGATACTGGAGTGCTATCCTTCTCTGGCAATGTTCCCCCACCTTTCGGAATTACTGAAAAGCTAACTGAATCTATTTTGATTTGTGAATCTCTTTGTAAGCAACAGCAGCTGCAACAGGGCTAATAAAAAGGAAAAGCCTTGCTATTTACCTAGGAAGGACATTGAAATACTGCACATACAAAAACATCCGGGATGTGGAGGAGCTCGATGAAATATTTTAATAGTTCCTTCCTTGCTTGCTTTGTTCTTTCCTCCCACCCTTTCTCCCTCTTTTCCCCCATTCCTTTCTTTTTGCTTTTCTTCTTTTTACTCTGTTTTAATACACTTCTATTTCATGTATCTATTCTTTGATAAAGAGCAACTTATTACCTTATATTTCAGGTTATTAAATAATGATTTTAGAATATGAGAACTCAAAATACTAGGTGAAGTAGCATAATCCTTTCACATATGTAGAGACACAGGCAGGGAGACTTTGTTACCAGCTGAATCTTCTGGTCCCAATTAAGAATGGAGGCTTTACAGATTCTGGTGGCTCTGATAACCAGTCAGACCATTCTGCTCTCTTTACAGTTTGGGTTTCAATTCTCCAGAGGAAGCTCACATGGCAACACCCTGTTGTTTGAGGATTCAAGTTGTCCTACTACAAGATAAATGAATACACAATCCCCTGCAGCTTTCATTATATTGAGAATAGAATTTTATAGTTCCTCTGAAGTTATTAAGGGGTCCTATTTACCAACTAATGGACCGGATTGTTCTGGCATAAATCCACATAAGAAAATCTTTTGAGGGCTTATTGGGTTTGAGAAAACCTTAGTCCTTGGTTTCAAGGACTAGATGCTGCATAAGAGAGCATAATTTCCTGAGTGGCTTCTGAGCTCCATCTTTGCCTGGCTGAAATAGACAAGGGAGTGTGTCTATTCCAGTCCAGGCTCATTCCAATGTGAGGACTTATTTATTATCTGTGATTTACTCAATGAATATTAATTGAGTATTTATCATGGACCTTATTTTCTTGGCCAGGTCTTAGGGATAAGAAGAGAAAAGATAGTTTCTTGTTGAAAGAGTTAGAGAGACAGATGTGGAAATAAAATATTACTGTATAAATTGTTAAGTGCCACAATGGAGATTTAGAATATACTAGGTGCTGAGGAAGGATTCTTCCCATTCTCAAGGAGAATTCTAATTTTTCATGTCAAAAAAGTAGGAAATATTACCAACCCTGTATGTTCCTGCTAATATGTATGTGTGCCCTTCAGAGTATTAGGCATGAGGTGATCAAACAAAAAGTCCTGGAATTACTTTGCGATTTACACAACTGTGGCTTTTCACAGTTGGATATTTTTTTCAACAATAATTCTAAGCAAAAAGTGGCTTTTCCCACTAGAAAGCATTTAAAACCTTTCTCCCATAGCTACAGAGCCCAGAAAGTATCTGATTCCTTACAGAGCATGGCCACCAGAGTCATTTTCTACATGGTGCAGAAAATACATGAGTTAGCAGTATACACCTACTCTGGAAGCCAAATAGCAAAGATTAAAAACCATCTGTCATTGAGAGTATGAGCCTGCAAGCAAGCAGTAGACTTCCAGCAGAGTCTAGGGCAGGAACAGTGTGTAACACAGATTAAAAAACACAAGATTCAACTAGAATCATTTGCTTAGTCACATGGTTAAAATGATATTAGCAGCTCTCACCAGAACCCACTTTGCCATGTGTTGCATAAAACCATGTGTCGTAAACCTGAAATATTTTTCATGCAAAATCATTCTTTCTCTCACGATTTTTTAAATGCTTATTTTGTGTCAGGCAGGGTGTAAGACACTGAAAGTACATTGGCTATACTGTAAACCAAATGTATATACTTCAAATCTTATAATATTAAAGATTATATTCTTATGGCACAGATATCAATTTATAAAAGTTTGTAGACAAGTAAGTTATGAATTTTAATAGACTGTTTCCACAGAGTGAGAGGTTCCTTTATTTAGCAACTATTTTCTTCTATTGAACATATGTGCTATAAATTTTACTGGGTTAGATATAAAATGCTTTAATATGCCAAACATCTTAAATAATCTAGAGGAACATGCTTAAGATATAATTTTCCAAGAAAAACTACCAAAGGTTATTTGCTTATGATGCCCTTAATTTTGACTTATGCATGTTCATTTTTTTACAGTGTAATTTTTAAAAGGCTAATTTGAGTGTTGTATTAGTATGGAAAATTAACCTTATAGTAGTCAATGTAGGTTAAAAGATCCAATGAACCTTGGTAAAACATAAAAGACTAGTTTATGATGCATCACTTGGGTTTTTGACCTTATGTATAAGCAGATCACAGATGATATACCAGTAAATTATCCAGCTCCAAGAATCTGAATACTCCCTGAAATACTACGTAAATTTGTATGTATTTATATATTTGTGCATTTTCACCAGATTCCCAAAAGAGCTCAGTAACTCCTCCCTAAAAAAATCCAGAAATGGAAATTCACTTGCCCAGGCTCTCACAGCTTATTAGCAGTAGAGTCAAAGCTGCCATCCATGTCTTGATTTTCAATCCAGTGAATGAAAACTGCCTTTTTCACTATAGACTTCATATTTCTTTGCTATAACACATTGTCCGAGTCAAACCAACATAGCACTTTATTTTCTTGAGGAATACAGTGTTAAAACAGCTTAAAATTCTTAGATAAACAAGTGTTTGCTTTATTATTAGAATTAGGATTTTTTTAGCAAAAACATCAAGGAGAAACCCTTTTCCCATATTGAATAAGTCAATGTGAGATGAAAACCACAAGAAATTTTATCTAATTTTTCTCTTGAATCAATCAGAAAAAGGGAGTTTCAAAAGCCTGGTGCTCTTGTTCAATTTAACACATAAAACAATGCATCTACTTTCATCTTTTTTTTTTTTTCTGAAGTCTCAACATAGAATCTTTTTTTCTGAAGTTTCAACCTGAATTTTGACAATCTGTTTTTGTTCAACTGATTGCCTTTAGTTTCTCAATTCCTTTGTTAGTGGGGACAAGTGAAAATAAATTTACAAAAGAAAAATATATTCAAGTTTGATTTTAAATTATTCAAGGTTTGGACTGCTTTATAAGATAAATTTAGTTAAGAAAGAAATCAAGTCTAAAGATCTACTAAAACTAGCCAATGTGCACAACTACCAGATATCTAATAAAAGCAACACTAGGAACAGTTGACCCCTGCTGGAATATAAATGAACTCTGATCTGAAGTGCAGGTAAAAATCAGGAGAACTGATTTAGGAAAAGCATACAGACCTGGAAGGTATATCTGTATATATATACCTGCATTATTAAATGCAGTATATATAGGTGTGTTTATGTGTATATATAAAAAGGCATTATTAAATGCAGTATATATGTGTTCATGTATATATATAAAAATGCATTATTAAATGCAGTATATATAGGTGTGTGTGTGTGTGTGTATATATATATAGAGAGAGAGATATGTATTAGGGGTGTGTGTGTATACAAAATGCATTTTAGGAGACTAAAGCCAAAGTAATTAATTTTGCAGCACTGAGACAGTCATAGCATCAATTTAGCAATAATTCTTAGATTGAATAAACCAAGAGATTAAAAATGTACTCTGCAGGGGTGCCTGGGTGGCTCAGATGGTTAAGCGTCTGCCTTCGGCTCAGGTCATGATCTCAGGGTCCTGGGATCGAACCCCGCATCGGGCTCCCTGCTTGGTGGGGAGCCTGCTTCTCCCTCTCCCTCTACTGTTACCCCTGCTTGTGCTCTCTCGCTCTCTCTGTCAAATAAATAAATAAAATCTTTTAAAAAAATGTACTCTGCATAGCAATCAGTTGCTCAAGTTCCAGCAGACTCTCTGATATCTATGAGTGGAGCTGGGGAAGAAGAACAAGCAATAATTTGTAGCCACAGTTAGAAATCTAGAGATACAAAATGTAGAACCAGAAGAACATGGATACACTGACATGTTCTTAGATTTTCTTTAGTTGCTTGTTTCAAAAAGTACTCTTAATAAATTTTTCGATCAAGCATAATTTATTAACACTTACGCTGTTTAATAAATTAAACTTTTAATAATTTGAAAAAACATTTACATGGTTATATATAACTATATAACTATTACTATTTTACTATAAATTAAATTTAAGAAAAAATGAATGGACTCTTGTATAAAAAACTTTTGAGTAATATTTACCGTAAAGGACTGAATTGATCTTTCAAAGACTTATTTTTGGTTGTCATCATGTCTGTCATCAGACAGATTGAGTTCAAATCCAGGCTCTAGTATTTCCTACCTATATTCCTCAATATATAGGAATAGAATAAGGAAGCTTCTATTGAAATAACTTGTTCACGTAATAGTATACACAAACTTTTGATTCTAAACTTCATAAATTACCAATTTTTAAATGATATATCTCCTATTTACTAATTGTATACTTGGATATTATTTAAGGTTTTTTTTAAAAAAGCCCAATTAATGACTGAATCATTTGTTTATAATATAAATACAAATACATTTCTAAAATGAAATTTTAGAATGACTAAAGCTAAAAACAGACTTTATTTTCATGATCTTTAAAATATGTAC